CTTGGCGGACACAACATCTTTGTTGGTATGTGGTGCTGAGGATCGAACCCGGGCCGCACGCATGCCAGAAGAGCGCGCTACCGTCTGAGCCACATCCCCAGCCCCTGGTCAGATCTTTTGGTCACAGCAGCGAGAAAGCTGACTAAAACGACACCTTACATTTAAAAAAAATTTATTTATATATGACAGTGGAATGCATTACAATTCTTCTTACACATATAGGACACAATTTTTCATATCTCTGGTTGTATACAAAGTATATTCACACCAATTTTTTTCTTCATACGTGTACTTTGGATAATAATGTCCATCATATTCCACCATCATTTCTAATCCCACGCCCACCCCCTCCCCTCCCACCCTTCTTCCCTATCTAGAATTTGTCTATTCCCCCCATGCTCCTCCTCCCTACCCCACTATGAATCAGCCTCTTTATATCAGAGAAAACATTCAGCATTTGTTTTTTTGGGGGGATTGGCTAACTTCACTTAGCATTATCTTCTCCAACTTCATCCATTTACCTGCAAATGCCATGATTTTATTCTCTTTTTTTGCTGAGTAATATTCCATTGTGTATATATGCCACAATTTTTTTATCCATTCAGCTATTGAAGGGCATCCAGATTGGTTCTACAGCTCAGCTATTGTGAATTGTGCTGTTATAAACATTGATGTGGCTGTGTCCCTATAGAATGATGTAAAAGTTCCACCAGAAAACTTCTAGAACTAGTAAGTGAATTCAGCAAAGTAATAGGATATAAAACCAACACCCATAAATCACATGCATTTCTGTATATCAGTGACAAATCCTCAGAAAGGGAAACAAGGAAAACTACTCCATTTACAATAGCCTCAAAAACAATAAAATACTTGGGAATCAACGAAAAAGGTGAAAGATCTTACAATGAAAATTACAGAACCCTAAAGAAAGAAATCAAAAAAGATCTTAGAAGATGGAAAGATCTACCTTGCTCTTGGATAGGCAGAATTAATATTATCAAAATGACCATACTACCAAAAGCACTATACAGATTTAATGTAATTCTGATCAAAATCCCAATGACATTCCTCATAGAAATAGAAAAAGCAGTCATGAAATTCATCTGGAAAATAAGAGACCCAGAATAGCTAAAGCAATCCTTAGCAGGAAGAGTGGAGCAGATGGCATCACTATACCAGACCTTAAACTATACTACAGAGCAATAGTAACAAAGGCAGCATGGTATTGGCACCAATACAGATGGTAGACCAATGGTACAGAATAGAAAACACAGAGACTAATCCACAAAATTACAATTATCTTATATTAGACAAAGGCACCGAAAACATGCATTGGAGAAAAGATAACCTCTTCATCAAATGGTGCTGGGAAAATTGGAAACCCATATGCAACAAAAATGAAATTAAATCTCCATCTCTCACCATACACAAAACTCAAAATGGATCAAAGACCTAGGAATAAAACCAGACACCCTGTGTCTAATAGAAGAAAAAGTAGGCCCTAATCTCCATCATGTGGGATTAGGCCCCAATTTCCTTAATAAGACTCCTTTGGTGCAAGAATTAAAATCAAGACTCAATAAATGGGATGGATTCAAACACCTTACATTTTGGTGGCAAGTTACAGGTTACATATAGCCTAGCTAAAGCCCTTTGACATTCGCTACAATACCTTTATTTAATTTATGTATTATCATGTGCTGCAAACCTAGTGCCTCACATGTGGTAGACAAGTGCTCTACCACTAAGCTACAACCCCAGCCCTTGACATTCACTTTAGTCCTGGGCAAGGTATAGGGGCTTGGAACAATTTTTCAACATCCAAGGGCTTCACTTTCCTCATCTGTAAAGTGGGAATAATTATATATATTTCATGCTGGGCACTGTGGCACATGCCTATAATCCCAGGGCCTCTGGAGGCTGAGTCAGGAGGGTTGAAGTTTCAAAGCCAGCCTCAGCAATTTAGCAAGTCCTTAAGCAACTTAGTGAGACCCTGTCAAAACAAAATATGAAAAGGGCTGGGGATGTGGTTCAGTGGTTAAGTGCTCCTGGGTTCAATCCTTGATATGGAGAAAAAAAATTTTAAAGGAAGACTTTGAAATATGTATTATTATTATTATTATTAACCAGGGATTGAACCCAGGGGCACTTAACCACTGAGCAACATCCCCAGCCCTTTTTAATTTACTTTGAGACAGAGTTTAAGTTGCTTAGGGTTTCCATAAGTTGCTGAGGCTGGCTTTGAGCTTGTGATTCTCCTGTCTCAGCCTCCAGAGCCACTGGTATTATGGGTATGTGCCACCAAGCCTG